TTGTTGTTATGACGCTGTTGTTTTTCCTCCGCTGCAGGCTCCTATTGATTTATGGCCATAATGTTTTCGGTTTCAAGTATTCGCTTAGCAAGGATGCGCAGTTGGCGCGCCTGGACGAGGAAGTCAATCTCACTGGTTTTTTTATACAATAACCTATGCATGAGTCCGGTTGCCCGTTATGGGTGGGCGAAAGTCGAAAAGGAAACATGAATGACTAATTAGGGGACAAAAGTGCGTGGAATTAGATTCCCGGTATCGTTCCTTTCAAAAATTAGGGGTGTCACTAAAATCTATTAATATTAGATTAATTAATCGAGTTTCGGGTTCTACTAGGAAACCATTCAAAAGTAATCACCGGTGGGAAGTAATCGTTCATGTGAAATGGTGGGTGCAATAGGCGTGGGCTGTGAGAACGTCCACATGCGGTTTGCAAGGCGCAGGAATCCTTGAACGTGATGAAAGCGTGAACGTTGGTGAGAAAAAGGTTTGCTGCGTGCTCGCGCATGATGTGTACATTGTGAAAGCCCGTTATGTCGTCGATTCGTTGTGGACATTGTGAAAGCCGTTATGATGTACGTCGATTCGTTGTGGAAGGGTCCGCCAATTATTTTTATCAGACTGTGGATTGATTTTAGCACCAGGCTCAAAATCACTCATACGGAGGGAGCAGCTTAGTTCTGGAAGTCTACTTATAGACACGTCTCAAGCTGAAAAATTGTGTTTAGCAAGGCACATACGAGTGCGCTAATCAATCCCTCGGGTTTTAGCGTTACCGCAAACAGTCTTATCGGAGAATAAAACCTGGCTGTCCCATCATGATGCACACTCATTCGTGTACACCCAAGAGGTAGAGTACCCCTCTAAGTCTGAGTTTGCGCTTGATGGGATAGTGTTGTTTAGACCCGTTCAATCTACCAGTGTTGAACGGGTAACTATACGAGCATCTTGTGCGCTGGGATACGCGGCAAGAAAATCGTGGTGCCGTTCCGCGCGCGCGCGATGGTGGCAATTTCTTATACTTGTTTACTACTGAGAACACCGTGATTCATGTAGACCCCGTCATCTTAGACATTCATGGCTATTTTAGGTTCTGAATTGCTTGTTATCGCCCTCCTTTACCTGGAGCCATCGTCATTAGCAAGCGCGATGCCGCACGCGACGCCCACAACGCGCTGAATCGCGTTTCTCTTGTAACATACCCCTTTGTTCCGCTTGCTTGTCTCAATAGCGGATAACGAGTTTGGCGCTGTGGGAAACCCATTCGCGGCACGCCTTGAGTCATCCGCAGCTGATATATCTCTGAGTAGTATAATGTCGGACTACATGGCGTTGAGACTGTTTTGTCAGTGCCGAGTTAACTATATCTTCGTTTCCTACCTCCTGATTGCTCTGAGAAATGAATCTATCGTAGATCATCAATACCCGTAATGCCTTCAGCGCAGACTCTAGCGTTATACCCTGGAAAATATTCGGGAGCTGGTACTCCCGTGTTGGATCAAAGCGTACTTTGAATTTCTCGACAGTAGTCCTCTTCTTTCGATGGGATCCTCGAAATCGAGCGGGGAAAGATGTACAGCCTCATTGAAGATACTTCGACGTCGTCTTGAGCTTGGCAGCAAGCTAGTCTTTTGTCTATGGAATATTGATGTGAACGTAATTTCGCGAATAGAGCTCAGAGTTGAGACTCCTTGCAAGGGGGAGGCGTATTTGGCTTGAGGAATTTTTTTTCTGATTGTCAATTTTCCCCGTTTCACTCGCACTACATGGGCACTTTTCTAGTGAAAGAACTTTTGGGGCAGCCCAGTAATGAATCGGTCGTTGTGGAACGGACTGGTCGCACAGTGGCGTAAAACTGATGAGAGATTGTATTAAGAACTTCCCCAGCGCCAGGACGTTTCCTGAGTCAGCTGCAAAAATTTGCCTTCAGTGAAATGTGTGGAATCGTAAATCGAATCAAACTTCTGGTCAGAATTGTATGAAGAGCTGATTATAGTTGTATAAATGGACGTTTAATCAGACCATAGGTGGTAGTCTGCTTGTTTGTGACAGAATCAATATCATAGTGGTCCGGCTTGGCGTGTAATAGGGCATGAGCAGAAGCCATATGCTTATTCTAAATGTAGTTTCATAAATGGCCAGCAGCGAAATGGAGCTGCAGCTTTGGTTAAAGACAATTATCGCGATCAAGTATTGCGGGCAATTGTACTCTGTCATGCACCAGTATTTCATAGTTAGCTTCTCAGTAAAAAAGAAGCAGAAAAATCTTCGCAACAACCTTCAAGCCAAAACCTACTCAGCATGGGCGGCTGGACGCGATGTGTGCCGGGCGTAATGGCTGCCAGATCGAGCGGCAGCCGCAATTGCGTCCCAACTTTCGAAATAGGATACTTTCGAACGTAAGGCAGCGTTCATACTTGTAGCGCTACAGCGTCGCGCTACAGCGTAGCGCTACAGCGCCGCTTCGCAACGTACTGCAATTTCCAACGATGGGATGATTAGAGTTGCTTACAGAGAAAATTGGGAAGGTTGCTGGAGTTTTCTTGAGAAATTGACAAGAAAAAAAAAGAAAAAGAAAGAAAATGACAACAAACCCCACTTGACAACAAATCTCCCTACCATTGGAAAAGCAAGCACTACATTCCATAAGCAAAAAAAAACTCTAATGGTTCCGCACTTTCACACATGTTTACAAGCCTGACCGAAGTAAGACCTTCCCCATTTAGCTAGTCTATAGCCATATCTTTGGCAAAATGCCAGTGGGACCGCGGGCTTAAAGGGACGCGCGGGCTTTAAAGGACGGATGCAGTTCGGGACCAGACGCCTCGTCCACCTACCGTCTCGTGAGTCCTAGCACCTTGTCGAAATTGCGATAACTTCCTCATCGCGCGCCATTGATGGATAAAAGCGGGATCATCTTCATCAAGGCGCAGAGGGTTCCAGAAGGCGCGAAGTCATTTTGAAGGCCTCTCGAGCGCGGATACTGTCTTTGAGCCAGAAAGATGAAAGAGGCTTGACTTTTCGACCCTGCTAGTCATCTTCGCCTGACCAGAATGATTCACACCTTTTGAATCGGCGCCGTGTCGACGCGAGGAAGAGGCAGGAGTAAACACGTGGGATCAGGATCGAAGACATGGATTGTCTTCCATTACACATGACTTCTCTGTCACAGTATAACACCTGAATTTGCGGCTGCTATTTCGACCGCGAAAGCACAAGTCGACCTGCCGGTGGGCAGGATAGGCCCTCCTATGCCTGCTTGCTTGCTGCTCCATCTCTTTTGTTCTTTAAGGTAGGACCAGCACGAAGAACTGCCCAAGTGTATGCCTGACCCTCTCTCAAACCGATATAGCTGGATTATCTCTTTAAATATCGATCGTATGTGGCTATCATTTTAAATATGACCACGAGTGGATGTAGCTAGTTGCCCTATGAAGTGTGCTGCCAGAGAGCTTCATATGTTTTTTTTTTTTAATGGCCAGCCCTTTTAGCTGTTCCATCCAGAAAAGATGCTAGAATCTAGAACCAAAAAACAAAAACAAAAACCAAAAAAAAAAAAAAACGAGTCGCTTTTATTCAAATTTTGATTTGAAAAGAGTTTCATACGGGTTTCACCTGTGATCGTGCGTTACTTCACGGTTTTGGAATTCAGTTGTGATAAAGTTGAATCCGTTCCGCGTTTCAGCTGTTATATATAGTGGTGGTGGGCTGGGGCTTACAATTTTGTAACGAGAAACACCAATACGGACCGAGATCGGGTTATAAGGGAAGTGCGAGGAGTACTCCGTCGCGCCCAGCTACACTGGGTATGCAGACTCCGCTAATACATTGACAAGCCAGTAGCACCGCACGCATGTCGTTCCAGTCACGATCTGATAGATGCTCCACTGCTATGGATGTACCTTCACCTCTAATTCCTTCGCCGCCACTGGGATTTATTTATAAGTGTATAACTTGTGTCGCACGGCATCATGTGCCTCTGGAGAGCCGCTTTCAAGCAAGCTCGAACTTCATGTCTACGCGACAATTCATTCATGCTGTTAGGAGGGGCGGAAAGGTAGCGAAGAGAGACCTGCCATCAATTCTTATTTTAATGGCAGTGCACGACTGCTGTAGGCGCCCGTCGTTGCGTCATCGCTGCGAGAGATTTAACCATATGCTTCAGCCCTTCACCATTACAGTTACACAAACACGTGCCCACTTCCTTACGCATGATTAATACTGTTGTTGCTCGTCAAGAGGGCAGTAGAATAGACGTAAAGTCGCTTAGACCATGCCAAGAGTCCTACCTAAGGGCGACGTTTCAGAGCGACGAAGAGGCAAGCATTTTTGAGCATGCTGCCCGATTTTCAGGGTAATTTGAGCATTAAACCGTGGGGTAATAACCGGTGTAGGTTGCTTGGATACGTTATAACATGGTTCAACGTGATATATGAATACGCCCGTGAGGGCACGTCCTGCGTTGGGGGAGGGGAATTTCTCGCAAAATGACCCTCCCCGCTATTCTTCATCCCACTTACCATCTTCACAAGTTATCTCTGCAGAGAATGCCTCGAGCCAGGAAAAACGAGGAGCGTCAACACTCAAAACATTTCTCTCGAAAGAAGTACCGACACCCCCCCACCCCCTTTCTCTGATTGATCACGATCTGACATGAAGAGTGGACTTACTTAAGTGTTGACTGGTTGCGTGCAACGCAGCTTTTATGAGAAGCTCCCTTATCTGGGCGATGTGCCACGAGTTTTTGCGCCCCACCCGTTTGCACACGTTCTCCGATCCGTCCAACGACTGGACTTAACGTCCATTCTGTTTTGACCAGAAGCTCGCCCTCCCCACTGCAATGTTCTCCTCTTCACTATCAGATATCCAGTTACTACGGCTCGTCACTTTGTTTGTTTATTTACTAGAGCACTTATAAACAAACGTCAGGTGTTCGGGGATACCACTGCAAAACTTTTCATAGAGGCGCATCTGTTATTAAGCGCTTGCACGATTTTTCCCAAATGTTGGTCCTTGCAGTTTTGACGGGAACTCTGGACGGTTCAGCGCCTATGTTCGGGGTAAGTATCCACAAGGTTTTTGGGGATATTTTTCTTAGGAATTTCCCTATATTTCGGTGGGTATGGCGGTTGGTGGAACGCCATGTTTAGTAAGACTGGCCCTTTTGAGTGAGTGGCAGTCTCACCTTCAGGGCGAATCAGTGTTCTGTCACCTCGGAGTGTTAGTCAGCCGTGAGTAGACTTTACGTTTTCAATTTTGCGACTGGCTAATTCCGCTGCGGCAGTGGAATACTGCGCTCATACGGTGGAACCGTTGGCATGTGGAGACGGTAGTTCCGTGGGAACGTTCGCCCGTTCTGAATGAATGGGTGTATGTGCCTCGGAAGGGGTCCAATTTTAGCGAGGCTCAACCGCAGGGCACGTCTTACCGTTGGGGTGAATTCTAGGTGAAGGGGTACTGTCCTGAGAGAGTGACATGTCTAACCATGACTAGGTCATGTTAAAACATGTTAAGCTGCCTCGATGAGAGCATGCAGGCGAGCAGAAATGACAAGGCATTGTTCTGCTGGAGTGGTCCCTCCCAAAAGTCAACAGATGTTCCATCTAATAGCATGCAAAGGCGCAAACAAGTCAGGCTTACAATCGTCCTCGCGGTCCTGGATCAACTACTACCCAGGCCTAAGTTCCCCCTGAGATAATTTTTTTTTCAAGATAGATGTAGGCACAAAAACATTACTTGAACATCATTAGGTCCCCCTAGCAGGGAACAGCGCGGGAGAATCCCATGCGGGTCGTACTTGTTCGTTGAGGAGGGGTCTATTCGGCCTAATTCTGGTATCCCATTTGTGAAGGCTTCGCCTCCCTGTGTGCCCTGCCCCGTTTTTGAGTAAAATTGTTTTCAAGAAATTTGCAAAAAAATGGTAGAAATTCGGAAGAAGCTAGGAAAATAGTCGGAGGATGGAAAGGGGAGGGAGTCGTAGCAGAGAAGGGAATTCGGAGGGATCGTACTGACACATTTAACCATTTCGTACACGATGCTGTACCTTGCCCCTAGTCAGTATGTGAGCTGAAGCAAATCCCAGA